GTTCCGTGGGAGAAAGATGAGGCGTTCTGCTCCCGTAAAGATTTACAGCCTCGGAAACCCTGTGCAGGGTCGCTATGAGTCGGAACCGACTCCACGGCACTTAACAAAAACAACAAGGGTCCTATCTAAGGAACCCTGGTGGCACTGGAAGTTACGTGTTGCTAACCACAAGGTCAGCAGTTTGCATCCACCAGCTGCTCCACAGAAGATAGATGAGACTTTCTGATCCTATAAAGATCTACAGCCTCAGAAACCCTATACAGGGTCACTGTGAGTCAGAACTGGCTCAAAGGCACAACACCACCATCACCACCACCACCTCCACCAGGTTCTTTTCTAACCTTTCAGTTGCTATTGTCAATTGTGTCTCATACAGCCAGTTTTTAAAAGAGCTTAATGCTCAAGGCAGATATTCTTTACTAGTTAAGGTAAACTACTGTTCTAAGAAGACTGCAGGGGAGATATTTTTGGTTTAAAGATTTTCTCAAAGCAATAGTTTTAGGGGTTTAGCCAACTTCATGACTCCAAGAAGTTTGGATTCTATGAGAATGTGAAATTCTGTTCTGCAATTCCCCTTTTGATCAGGATTCTCTGAAAGAATCTTTGATCAACATGTTCGGTAATAATAGCTGGGTACTAGCCAGTTCTTCTGGTCTCCTGGCAAAGGAGGCAACTGCTGCTCATGAAGGCAATTAGCCACACGTCTCCTCCTCCTCACTCCCCTTCTTCCTTGATTGTTCCAGACAAATTGAAACCAATAGTTGTACTTTGGCTGGTTACGTGCAAGGTCTTAAAATCCCATATCCTACACGTAGAGAAGAAGCACTAAACACATTACTAGGCCTATTAACTGTGATAATCCTTGAAACCATGACTGAAACCCTCCAAACTAAGGAAAATCCCATGAAGTGTTTGGGTGCACATGAGCAGCTTCAGCAGCTATTCTGGGAACGGTTTTGTTGTTGTTGTTGTTGTAAATACATCTATCACATATTGTTAATTCAACTCTGTACAGGTATACAATTTCATTAACTGACAGTGCAACCCTCCCCTTAATCAATGTAATTTTCCCCACTGTAAACTGAAACTCAAGATCTTAACATAGTAAGTACACAAGAAATACTAACTGTAAATTGCATTGGGAGGCTACAAATGATGATTTTTAAATGGCCTCTTATCTTTAAAATTTTATTTTAAGTACTATTATTGTTGTTAAATGTCACTGAGTCAGGTATGACTCATAGTGACCCTGCACAGGATTTCCAAAGTACGGCTGGTGAGCTTGAACCGATGACCTTGCAGTCCAGCTCATTAACCCGCAATGCCACACCAGGACTCCTGTAATTTAAGTACTCCTTAATTTGCATGCATATGGTGAATACATGTATGACTGTTTCTCTGTATTTATTCATATTTATTTTGAAGTGTTAAAGTTGTTATTTTGCTTGGATTCACAATTATACTCATGGATGCTTGTTGTTAAGTGCCTTTGAGTCAGTTCCGACTCATAGCGACCTTGTATAAAGTTTTCAAGGAGCAGCTCATAGATTTGAACTGCCAACCTTGTGGTTAACAGTTCAGTGCTTTTCCTACAGTGCCACACCAGGACTTCAGGTAAGAAATCAAACAACATATTGCATTAGCAAATCTGCTGCAAAAGACCTGTTTAAAAGATATTACTTTGGGGACTAAGGAGGGCCTAAAACAAGCCATAATATTTTGAATCACCTCGTATGCATGTGAAAAGTTAGACAATGAACATGGAAGACCATAGGCGAATCAATCGATTGGAATTACGGTGTTGGCTATGAATATTGCAAGGACCAAGGACAAGAACAAACAAATCTGTCTTGGAAGAAGTATAGCCAGAATGCTCCTTAGACAACAGGATAGCAAGAGTTAGCCTTTTGTACCTTGAACACGTTGTAAGGAGGGACTAGACTAAAATAGGAAGGCCCCCAATGAGACGAACCAACATAGTCAAACCAACCAGCAATAATGGGCTCAGATCTACCCATTGTGAGGACGGCGCTGTACCGGGCAGGGCTTTGTTCTGTTGTGCACAGGGCTGCTACGACTTGGAACCAACTGAACAACAGTTACCAAACAATGACAACATATATAAAATGCATTTGAGTATTTCTGGAGACATAGTTCCTTGTGAATGACAATGTGCTAAATAGCAATGTGATCATATTTTAAACTTACAATGCTTAAGACTATTTTCAAATGAAAAATATATCTATTGTTCAGGAAAAAACAATTACCCTCAAAACAAACAACTGAAGCAGCATGAATTTTGTGTATGTGTCCTTATGTCTCATAGTAAAAAGAGAATCGAGAAGAGTAGGTAAAGCAGGCAATTTCAGCAAATCATTTCACCTTGTTCCCCAGCTTAAATACTTCTTCCAGGTTGGTGCTGTTGGTGTTTATCATGATTGAATCCGTATCTCCATAAATAACTTCAAGATTCATCTAATGAAAAGCAAAAATTAGAAACATGAACAACAAAAACAGTGAACATTAATACACAATGAAACGAGGGGACTTAAGATTTCCCATACTATAAAAATTACAGGTTCTACTGACTTCTCAAAAGTTTGTATTATTATCCATGCTGTCAGTGATGTATAAATGAAGATTAAGCTCCTTCCTATAAACCAAAAAGGCAAGCACGACAGTATGACCAAAATCTCTCAAATAGTCAGAAATCCAACACGATGGGTATGGCAGGGAAACTGTCTCCAGTGTCAAATAAATTCTGGACTTGAATTATGAGTAAGATATTATAAGGAGCAAGGGTGGGGAGGAGAGTCTAGCGGAGTGGGGCAAAAGATCTATATATGCATGTTGTTGTTGTTGTTGTATGCCGTCGAGTTGATTCTGACCCATAGCGACCCTGTATAGGGTTTCCAAGGAGCAGCTGGTGAGTTTGAACCACTGACCTTGCAGTTCAAACAACTTTGCAGTCTGACGCATTAGCCCACAGTGCCACACCAGGACTCCTGGTGTAAATATATTCATATTTACCCGTATATTGAGTGGTCACGACAATTTGAGAAACAGAAATGTAATGTATTTTTTAAATTCAGAGGCACAAATTCGTATTAAATGCTTAACAGTTTCAAACAGTATTTAGTAGAATATGAAGAGTGCCAAAAAAAATCAATCATAACAAATAACACTAGAAACATAGGCCTGGAAGTAAACTCTAATTAGCACTGTTACTAATTTGCTTGAAACACTCACGTATAGGCTTCAAGCAGCGGCAAGATCATATCAGTGTTGGTAAAAGAAAAAAGCTATAATCCATTAGGAGGGATTATAAACGTAAACTAGGCAACCTAAGACGCGGTTTCCAGTCTGTTTGGGTTACAATTTTCCTTGAATACAAAAACGTCACCAGGTATGATATTTAAGAGTTGTTATATAATGAAAATGTTCAGCATTACCTTCTGCACCATCTCTTTTGTATGCATCAAAATCTAAATGAAACAAAAAAAAGTCAAGATTAATGCATTACACAATTATAAAGACCATAAATATAAGCACACTATCTCTTTCTAAAGCTCTTGATGGTTCCCTCAAAATGGCAATAACATCAACATAATCTAAACGCAAGCTTGCCATTATGCTGACTGTTAGCCAGAGGTTCGCTGCTGCATATACTGGGTGTGTGTATTAATCAACAAGCATAGTAACAGCATCCCTTTATAAAATGTTAAGAAGGTAATCAATTATCATTAATGGGGCAAATGGTTAACACACTCAGCTGCTATGCCAAAGGTTGATACGCTGCGTCATCTAAAGGTACCTCAGAAGAAAGACCTGACAACCTGCTTTTACAAAACCCATCAGCCATAGCAAGCCCTGTGCAACACTGTTCTGCTCTGACATACTTGATTCAGTGGCAGCTGGAACAGAGAATTCTCATTACTAATATTTAAATAGAACTGCCTGATTTGAAACAAAAGCTTGACAGAACGTTTCAAATCTAGCAATTCTTACGCATGGTACTCAATATCTTCAATAGCGTTGGGACCCAGTAGACATTTGGTGAATGAAAGCTCACAAGTAACATGTATAGATGGGTCTGTCCTCAGACCAAGAGAGCTATAAACTAGCAATAGACATAGGTTATAATGTGAATATACATGAAAATATACAGATTATCTTGGACCTATACCCGAAAGTAACACATACCACATAAACGAAGGATCCTGAAGAAGTTGTAATAGGAATTACAGTGAGTACCCAGTGCAACAACAGGCTCAAAGACAGCAACAACTGTGAGGATGGATGGCACAGGACTTGGCCACCTGTTAGGAGTCATAACCAACTCAATGGCACCTAACAATAGCATCATGCAAGGGTGCTTCAAAATGTTCATGGAAAAATAAAAATAAGAAATCCACACAGTTTTTTAAGCTCCCTCATAATTCTACGTACACACACAGTGTATGTGCCAAATATGATATTAGGAGCATCTTGTGTGTTTTCTCATTTTATTCTCCAAGATCCCCAAGAGATAGTTACAATTAATATTCCCATTTCTTAGACGCAAAAAGACACAGCAGAAGAAATTAACCTGCTGTAGTAAATGGGAAAGCAAGGTCGTGGTCTGATTCCAGAGCAGAGAGCCTTTAGTCACTCTATGTTAGTGCTATCTCTCATCTTTCAAAACATCAACCTGCAAGGTCAGTTAGAACCACAGGCCAGTGGTTCAAGCTCACCAGTCACTCTTTGGAAACCCTATACAGGGTTGCCATGAGTTGGAACCAACTCGATGGCACTTAATAACAACAACCTTTCAAAACACCCATCTAGACCAGAAGCCACTTTCCTTCTATCTGGACCAGACAGAAGACTTACTTCACTCTCTTCTTCAAGAGCCTTCTTTCTCTTACTTCAATAGCCTTCCCCGTCAACTAGGCTCAGACTGAGCCCTATCACCTTAGCCTTTAAGTATCGTCTACATTGACCCATTTCTTTCATTTCTATTGTCCCTCACCCATATAGTACTGTCTCCCAACTTTGTTTATATGTTCATTGCCCTATGTTCTCAGAGAAAGAGGCCCTTTTCCCGTTCCAGGGTGGGTGAATTCTGATTACACCAAGCCAATGGTTTTCATACTTAAAATAAAAAAAAAATTCTAATGCCTATCCCAGCAGCTTTTCAAAAAAGAGCCTGAGATGATGGTAACATTGCAGGCAGCGTTACGAACCACTAATATAAAATAATCATGGTCACTCCATTCTGGAAAATTTGAACAGTTTAGACGTGTGCATCTGATGAACCAACCCTGGCCAATCAAGAGCTAAGGAGAAGCCCACTGGAAAGGTTCTGTGAAATGTTTTCCATCCTGAAAAAAAGAAAAGTGGGAAGCAAAACTGCCTTTCGGCCTGAGGGCTGCTTGGAGCTGTGACAACCATCGCTGTGACCATGAAGCCATCTTAAAGAAGGAAAAGCTAACCTGCAGGCAGGAAGCACCGAAGCACCTGGCTTCCAAGGTGATGCGGTTGTGCCAATGAATTAACCAACTCATACATCTAATGTAAAACTCTCCATGGATCTTACAGGGGCTGATTTAAGGAATCAGATCACCAGGCCTTTCTTCCTAGTTCATCTTAGTCTGAAAGCTCTACTAAACCTGTTCAACATCGTTGTTGTTGTTAGTGCTGCCGATGTCGGTTCCAACTCATCGCGACCCTGTATAGGGTTTCTAAGGAGCAACTGGTGAGTTTGAACCGCTGACCTTGTGGTCCAGTGCTTTATTCCACAGTGCCACACCAGGACTTCACTGAGATGAGTAATGGCAACGCATGAGATGCATTGGCTGGGACTTAACCCTGGGTCTCTTTCATGGTAGGTAAGAATTCAACCACTAAACCATATCTCTAACTGGCTTTAGATCTTCTCAACTCACCATGCATATCACTACCAATCTCTTAAATGTTTTCAATGTTTCCTCACTACTTACCAAATCAAGCACAAACTCTACTACACCTTTATAGTCTCTTTTACTTACACAAACCCTCTGTTGTCGGTAAGTGCTGTAGAGTCGCTTCCGACTCATAGCAACACTGTATAAGGAGGGTTTCCAAGGAGCAGCTTGTGAGTTTGAATCACCAACCTTGAGATTCAAACCAACCTTGTGGTCCAGTGCATCATCCCGTAGCACCATACTAGGACTCCACACAAACCCTTTAGTGGGCAAGAGAAACCTCACAGTTAGCACATTACAGACCCATCTTTTCATGTCTTTGCTCATACGGTGTCACTCATCTGGAATTTCTTTCCCTGTCATCTTCTTGGGTCAGGCTTCCATTAAGCCTGAGCTGAACACATGGGCCCAGCCTGTACTGATCTCTCCCTTCTGATTTGTGCTTGTACCATTCTTCTGGCCCTTTAATGATGCTTGATATAACTGTTGACAGTGTGTTATCTCTGCAACTAGTCATAGGATCCTCAAGGTCAGAGACTATTCCCCAGACCTCTTTGTAGCCCATGTTTGTGCCTAGCTCCAAACTTCACATCTAAAAGGATCTCAAAAGATTGTTTGCTAGTTGACTGATAGGTCTCATGGCAATCCCACTGACTTTTCTACGAGGCACTAAAATTAAGTTAACTTATAAAAACACATTCACTCTCCTCTACTTCATCTTCACTTTTGAACATTTAAATTACAGGACAGTGCATTATGGGAGACTACCTGACAACTCCTTTGGTAAAAAGGGCAATAATGAGATCAACCCAAGTCAAGTTAATCATAGTGAGGACAGAGCTACGTATCAAGAGTTCTCTTCACCCTCTGCCCCTTCCACCTGGCCGAGCTTCGCACTCCTCATGACAATGGGCAACTCCAGAAGGGAACTGTTACCTACTAAGTAAAATACTTCAGGAACAATTTGTCAATCTTTCATTGCAACTCTGCATATTTAGCAACTGATTTATGCTGCTCTTCTTGTCATCTCTAAGTGCACATTCGATGTGAACTGGCAACCTTTCTCTTTCAGATCCATCCTCTACCTCCACTCTACCCTGCCATGGACTCACAACCATTTGTAAACACAATCTAAAGGCTGTTACCAAAATGATTTTCCCTGCACAGTTGTTTTGCACAGAAATGGTAACAAACTTAGGAAGTTATAAAGACTGTATGACAATGGCTTTTTCCACCAAACAATTGCTTTTCGAGATATTTCCATATTCACACATACAGAATTGCCTTATAATTTTTTAATGACTACACAGGATTCTGCTAAATGATCAGAACCTAATTTTTTAACTACCGTTTGCTAGTTGCTGTTGAGTCGGATCTGTACAACAGAACAAAATGGTGCCAGGTCTTACGGCATCTTCATGGTTTCTCATATAGTTAAAGTCGATTGTTGAGGCTATTGTGGCAATTCATCTTATTGAGGGTTCGCTTGTTTTCGCTGGCCCTCTACTGCACCAAACATGAAGTACTTCACTAGCAATACAGACCTATAGGTGTCTCTAATCACTGGCCATTATAACCATACATCAACAAATAATCCTTTTACCTATACATTTTGAAAATCTGCCAGTAGCAGGGTAAACTCCTACAAGATGACTTACTGAGTAAAAACTAAGTATGTTTTTAAAGTTTCTTAAATATAGCCCAAACAGCTCTCACAGAGGTTGTACCAACTTCCTTCCAGAGGACCTCAATGCAGCTGACGATGATACTATGAAACTTTTTCTCAAATCTTCAGTTCATTCTGTACAGGACAATTGTCAAGCAGGCTGACACCTACCCTCTCCTGCTTCCTCCCTAAGCAGTTCTACATACTGGGTGCTAATGAGCAGGGTCACCCCAAAGCTGCCCTCAGTGCCAGTCCTCCACTGAAACTGCTAAAGTCACTGGAGTAGTCAAGTGGGCAGGTACAAGAGGTCTGCCAAATTCTCAGTATCTAGCAGAGAGCCTGGTACACAGGAGCTATGAGCAAATATTTTTAGAATGCTGAAAAATAATCCTAAGAGGAAGGCAGTCTTATAAGCCCAATTTAAAGATGAGGAAAATGAGATTCTGAGATGCTGCCCCAAATAACAGAGGTAGTCAGTCAAGAGCTAGCTGTAAAAACTGGACTATATGTTTCACTTTTATGTCCCATGGTCTTGTAAAAAACCTCATAGCACATGAATGTTCTAAAAGCCAATAATGAAAAACTTATACATTACAGATATTCTCTCCATTAAAGAAATATTAAAAAAAAAAAAAAAAAAGCACAGGGACCCAAAAAGGTCTATCAGACACAAGGTACAGTGATTACAAGATGACCGTTCATAAGTTCACTTCAAAGTGACAAGCCTAATATTAAAGGGACCCATTCTGACAGAAAATCATTTTATAAGTGCCAACAGCTAGAAAACAGGGCTATAAAGGCTTGCTAAATTCATTAATAAGACAGTCTGCAGTTATCTGATTTCACAGCAACACCTGCATATTTATCTACTCAT